TCTCTCACTCACCCTCACCATCACTTACCCACTCACTCACCCTCACAATCACTTACCCACTCACTCGCCCTCACCATCACTTACCCACTCACTCACCCTCACAATCACTTACCCACTCACTCGCCCTCACCATCACTTACCCACTCACTCACCCTCACCATCACTTACCCACTCACTCACCATCACTTACCCACTCACTCACCCTCATCATCACTTACCCACTCACTTACCCTCATAATCACTTATCCACTCACTCGCCCTCACCATCACTTACCCACTCACTCGCCCTCACCATCACTTACCCACTCACTCGCCCTCACCATCACTCACAAATAACCCTGCGCCACAAGTGCCCAGTCCTCACCCCCATTATATTTTCTCACTGTCCCGAGCCTGCGCCTGGCAGGGTTAACCGGGGCGGTCCGGTGGAGGTCTAACCGCTAACATCCGCAGCTGCCCCCCCCGGGCTACAGCCCTGACCACGTGGCCGTCTCTCTGTTGCCCGCGTGGTCCGCACAGCCGGCCCGATCACCGCACGGTGCCCTACCACTACTACCAGCCCAGCGGCAGCACCGAGTGCCAGGAGTACTCGAGGCAGGAGCACGCGGGGGGCGGCGCGCACCGCTTCGTCACGGAGAAGGCCGTGTTTGGGCGCTGGGCGGCGCAGAGGAACGTTCGCTTCTCACACCCAGAGTGGCCAGCTGACGGCCGGGTTTAGAACTCCTCCTCCTGGTTCCTACTCCTCCTCGTTCTCGTCCTGGCCAGATCCTGACCTCTTCTTAATCGGATCAGCAAAATCAACTTCCTCCGCCGCAAGAGACGCTTACGACCATCTCAGGACCAGCTGATCACATCGTGACTGGCTCTCTACGGATCTTCAGCACTTTGCCAGATCATCGTAATGTTTTGAATTAAAGTGTATTGTATTTATTGTTTAGCTGCTTCAGAAGCAGAATATTTATTTTTACTACAGGAGGAATCCGATGAGCTATGAAGCTCTCTCTTTAACATAGGTCCAGTAGGGGCGGGAAAGAACGTTACAATAACAAACACAAACACGATAGGAGTGTAAAGTACAAGAGAGGTCAGCAAATCACACAAACAACAACAACAACACTAAACCATCCACATCCTGCCAAACAAAGCCCACTGAGCTATTCACTTTCATTACAAAAGTGACCTGGCCACAGATGATAGCTGGGTAAAGAGAGCACTTAAACGCAGGCACTTCCACGTCCGTGTGTGTGTGTCCGTGTGTGTGTGTACGCGCGCATCCGTGTGTATGTGTACGCGCGCGTTCGTGTGTGTGTGTCCGTGTCTGTGTACGCGCGCATCCGTGTGTGTGTCCGCGTGTGTGTGTCCGTGTGTGTGTGTCCGTGTGTATGTGTACGCGCGCGTCCGTGTGTATGTGTCCGTGTGTGTGTATGCGCGCGTCCGTGTGTACGCGCGCGTCCGTGTGCGTGTGTACACGTGTGTGTGTACGCGCGCGCGTCTTTGTGGGGAGCGGTGGCGTAGTGGTTAGCGCACTACGCTACGAACCCTACCACCCGAATTCGATTCCCGTTAACGGCCAACACCAGTGATGATTATCTGAACTGGTCCTGGGCCTCCCTTATGTCGACTAAGCCTCAAATAAGTACCTGGTGCGGTGTGTAAACATCGCCACTGGGAGAGACAAAGGCGGTCGGGCGTGATGCTGGCCACCACCGACCTCGTGTACCGTGCCGGCCTTCATAGGTGCAACTCGCGAGCAGCACTCGCCCCAAAAGTCTGTTAAGGCTACAATATTTGTAGGTGAGGAGCGGTGGTGCAGTGGTTAGCGCATCACGTGACGAATCCCGAGACCCAGGTTAAAATGCCGCTCACGATCGAATAACAGTGAACCGTCCCTGGGGCCTCCGCTAAGGTTTACTCAGCCGTAAACGAGTGTGTAAGTAAACGAGTGTGTAAGTAAACAGCAGCAGCACTGGGGAGACAAAGGCGGTCGGGAGTGATGCTGACACAATAAACCACACCACTAGTGCCGCTTACCTGTTGTGAAGTATGGCCTGTCACGTGACGCTTAATGGGCCTCGCCGTGCTGGTGAAATCCAAGCAAATACAAAGCCGGTCCTTGATGGAAATACATTGTTTGCAGAACCCCAATTATTGTACGGTGCTTTCAACCTGCGTGTTTTATATCTTGCCGATGGAACGCATCCTTGTCGTTTGTATTCAACGACTCTTCATTACCCTTTAAAACTTGCCTCTCAGCCGGCTAAAGCCTCCCGTAAGTCACGTGACTCCTGTGCCCCGCCCCCCCGCACTCTGCATCCCTCCCCTCTCCCCGCCCCCTTTGAAAACAGACGCTGCTCCTCCGTGCAGCTCACTGCTTGCTGCTCGCTCCTTCCTTCTCTCTTGATGCCCTCTCATCATCATCATCATCATCGCCAGTTCATCATCCCCGACATCTTAGCCCGATTATACCTTCCCTCCCTTCCTCCTCCCTTCCTGCACCACCGCTCCTCCTCTCTCCCTGCTGCTCATCTCGAGCCGTTCCCTCCTCTCTGGGCCTTACCTGGTAAGATACAATAGATAATATTGTAGTTTTATTCCTAGATATGTTTTAAATTGTTTACCTTCCCTTTACTTGGCCCTCCCATCGTGTCTGTGTGTTGTTTGTTATTGTCACGTTCTGACCCCGTGCCCCTACCGGACATCTGTGACAAAAGAGCTTCGTGGCTCATCGGATTCCTCCTCCTGCAGTATAAATACTGATTCTGATTCTTTGTCCGACTTGGGGACTTCCATCCCGGCCTCCCGCCCCTCTCCCGGTCTGTTCCTTTCTCCCATCCATCGCGTCCTTGACTCCACTCCCCTTGCCGGGGTGTTGCCACGAGTAAAAGATCATGATATGTTTATTTTATGTGTTCTAATCATGGCTGTGTTTTCTCTGGCGTTGAGCCAATCCATCATCATTCACATCACCATCAGCAGCAGCAATGTCGTCATACTCATCATCACCACCGTCATCATCAATCGTAATCAGAACCATCAACATGATCATAATTCACCACCATCATCACCATAACCACACCTACTATAATCACCCAGGAATGTCTTTCTTTAACGCTCTTGACGTCACTCCACATCGACCAGCCCCCCTCATTAATAATCATGAGCAGGTGTCGTCCTCCAAATGGACCTCCCCCTCATTAATAATCATGAGTAGGTGACGTCACTCCACATGGGGGGGGCGAGGCGCCTCCTCCCCCCTCGGCGTCAACTTACAACCCTCATTACAAAGGCAGAACCCTCACGTCACGTGATCTCTGTAACGCTGTTGAGACATCAAAGTAAAAAGGACGTCGTAATGAACAAGGGATTATAATCTTAACATGAAATAATAGGTCTGTGTCACCGCGCCCTTACAAAGTGAACACGCATTGATGCAATGGATATCACGTCGCGGTCTGCTTTTCGCTTGCAAGTTTCAGATTTACTGCAATAAACCCGTCCATGGACGGGCTAAAGGCGAGTTTATAATAATCATCGTCGTTTTCAGTTACTTGCATCGTCGCTACCAGTATCTTCATCGCTAATATTGATCATCAGCAGCATCGACAGCGGCATCCTTCGGTCGTAGTCATCAACATCGGAGCCACCAGTCAGAGCCACCACAGTCAGAGCCATCACAGTCAGAGCCACCACCGTCAAAGCCACCACAGTCAGAGCCACCACCGTCAGAGCCACCACCGTCAGAGCCACCACAGTCAGAGCCACCACCGTCAGAGCCACCACAGTCAGAGCCACCACCGTCAAAGCCACCACCGTCAGAGCCACCACCGTCAGAGCCACCACCGTCAGAGCCACCACAGTCAGAGCCACCACAGTCAGAGCCACCACCGTCAAAGCCACCACCGTCAGAGCCACCACCGTCAAAGCCACCACCGTCAGAGCCACCACCGTCAGAGCCACCTCGTGACCTCTGCACCGCTTGACCCTGGGACCCCCACTGACGTTTGGACCCTTCGACTTCTGAATCACTTGCCCCCTAGGACGCCTGTGCTAGGTGGCCATTTCAGACTGAGTCGACCTAGAGGAGGCCCAGCACCGCGACCGGTGTAAATAACGTCGCCGCTGAGTGTTAGTCGCGAGCGGGAATGAAACTCGGGTGGCTGAGTTGCGTAGTGCCGTGCACGAACCGCGACGCCACCTCCACCACGACAACAGTCGAACAGACGCGCAGCCTAGCAGGCTGTGAGCGAGCACCTGGGGCAGGCAGGAACGGAGGGAGCGAAGTGGGAGCGAGGAATAGAGGCAGGGACGGAGGATGGTGGAGGGATTCAAGAGGGATGGGGGAAGAAGGGGATGAGAGGGAGGAGGAGTAGTACAGTAGGGATGGGAGGGATGACGGAGTCACAGGCTGGGCACGGAGAGCGAGAGCCGCGGTGATGCACACACGGGGCAAGGATGGAGACGGGGACCAGGAGGAGTGGGAGGAGAAGGAGTGGGAGGAGGGGGAGGAGACGGGGACCAGGAGGAGTGGGAGGAGACAGGGACCAGGAGGAGTGGGAGGAGAAGGAGTGGGAGGAGGGGGAGGAGACCGGGACCAGGAGGAGGGGGAGGAGACGGGGACCAGGAGGAGTGGGAGGAGAAGGAGTGGGAGGAGGGGGAGGAGGGGGAGGAGACGGGACCAGGAGGAGGGGGAGGAGACGGGACCAGGAGGAGTGGGAGGAGAAGGAGTGGGAGGAGGGGGAGGAGAAGGAGTGGGAGGAGGGGGAGGAGACGGGACCAGGAGGAGTGGGAGGAGACGGGACCAGGAGGAGTGGGAGGAGAAGGAGTGGGAGGAGGGGGAGGAAAAGGAGTGGGAGGAGGGGGAGGAGACGGGGACCAGGAGGAGTGGGAGGAGCAGTTGAAGAAGCGGGGAGGAGGGCGGAGGAAGATAAATCGGGGGTGAGAGAGGAAGAGGATGGGGAGGAGGATGGGGAGGAGGGGGAGGTGGAGGGGCAGGAGGTTGAGGAGGGGGAGAAGGAGGAGGGGTTGTGGATGAAACGCGAGCCTCGCGCGTCACGTGGCTCGCTGAGAGCGCGACCCGCGCGGAGCGAGGGGGATTGTGGGACGTGGCTGGGAGCGCAGTAACGGAGCTCTGCGAGGAGGAGGGAGAGGAGGAGGAGAATCCGGGCCGCTCTGCCTCACTCCCTCCCTCTCGCTCACTCCGTCTCTCTCGCGCTCCTTCGCTCGCTCGCTCGCCCTCCCGGCATGAGGCGATGGCACCCAGACCCTGCACCCCGAAGGTAGGGGCTTCCCCTATCCCCTCGCTCCCCTTATCCCCTCGCTCCCGTTATTCCCTCCCCGAATCCCATCGCTCCCGTTATCCCCTCGCTCTCAGCATCCCCTCCCTTATCCCCTCGCTGCTCGTCTCCCCACGTCCCCATTATCTCTCTTCTACCCACCCCTTTAATCGTCCCTGTACCTCGACATCCCGGCGTACCCCTCGCTGCTCCCCGTGCACCCCCCTCATGTCGGACCCCCTCGTCCCACCGATCCCTGCGCTGACAGAGTCAGCTGCTGCTGCTGCTGTGGGGGGCTCTGGGCGGAGGCGAGGGATCATAGAATGTCGGTGCCGTGTACCCAGCCCCTGTGTGTGCCGTGTACTCAGGCTCTGTGTGTGCCGTGTACTCAGTCCCTGTGTGTGCCGTGTACCCAGTCTCTGTGTGTGCTGTGTACTCAGCCCCTGTGTGTGCCGTGTACTCAGTCCCTGTGTGTGCCGTGTACTCAGTCCCTGTGTGTGCCGTGTACTCAGCCCCTGTGTGTGCCGTGTACCCAGTCCCTGTGTGTGCCGTGTACCCAGTCCCTGTGCGTGCCGTGTACCCAGTCCCTGTGTGTGCCGTGTACCCAGTCCCTGTGTGTGCCGTGTACTCAGTCCCTGTGTGTGCCGTGTACTCAGTCCCTGTGTGTGCCGTGTACTCAGCCCCTGTGTGTGCCGTGTACTCAGTCCCTGTGTGTGCCGTGTACTCAGTCCCTGTGTGTGCCGTGTACCCAGTCCCTGTGTGTGCCGTGTACTCAGTCTCTGTGTGTGCCGTGTACCCAGTCCCTGTGTGTGCCGTGTACTCAGTCTCTGTGTGTGCCGTGTACTCAGTCCCTGTGTGTGCCGTGTACTCAGTCTCTGTGTGTGTCGTGTACCCAGCCCCTGTGTGTGCCGTGTACCCAGTCCCTGTGTGTGCCGTGTACTCAGCTCCTGTGTGTGTACTCAGTCTCTGTGTGTGTACTCAGTCCCTGTGTGTGCCGTGTACCCAGTCCCTGTGTGTGTACTCAGTCCCTGTGTGTGTACCCAGTCCCTTTGTGTGCCGTGTACCCAGTCCCTGTGTGTGTACTCAGTCCCTGTGTGTGTACCCAGTCCCTGTGTGTGCCGTGTACCCAGTCTCTGTGTGTGCCGTGTACTCAGTCCCTGTGTGTGGCGTGTACTCAGTCCCTGTGTGTGGCGTGTACTCAGCCCCTGTGTGTGCCGTGTACTCAGTCTCTGTGTGTGCCGTGTACTCAGCTCCTGTGTGTGCCGTGTACTCAGCCCCTGTGTGTGCCGTGTACTCAGTCTCTGTGTGTGCCGTGTACCCAGTCCCTGTGTGTGCCGTGTACTCAATCCCTGTGTGTGCCGTGTACTCAGTCTCTGTGTGTGCCGTGTACTCAGTCTCTGTGTGTGCCGTGTACCCAGTCCCTGTGTGTGTACTCAGTCTCTGTGTGTGCCGTGTACTCAATCCCTGTGTGTGCCGTGTACTCAGTCCCTGTGTGTGCCGTGTACTCAGTCCCTGTGTGTGCCGTGTACCCAGTCCCTGTGTGTGCCGTGTACCCAGTCCCTGTGTGTGCCGTGTACTCAGTCTCTGTGTGTGCCGTGTACTCAGCTCCTGTGTGTGCCGTGTACTCAATCCCTGTGTGTGCCGTGTACTCAGTCTCTGTGTGTGCCGTGTACTCAGTCCCTGTGTGTGGCGTGTACCCAGTCCCTGTGTGTGCCGTGTACTCAGTCTCTGTGTGTGCCGTGTACCCAGTCCCTGTGTGTGCCGTGTACTCAGCTCCTGTGTGTGCCGTGTACTCAGTCCCTGTGTGTGCCGTGTACCCAGTCCCTGTGTGTGCCGTGTACCCAGTCCCTGTGTGTGCCGTGTACTCAGTCCCTGTGTGTGCCGTGTACTCAGCCCCTGTGTGTGCCGTGTACTCAGTCCCTGTGTGTGCCGTGTACTCAGTCCCTGTGTGTGCCGTGTACCCAGTCCCTGTGTGTGTACTCAGTCTCTGTGTGTGCCGTGTACTCAATCCCTGTGTGTGCCGTGTACTCAGTCCCTGTGTGTGCCGTGTACTCAGTCCCTGTGTGTGCCGTGTACCCAGTCCCTGTGTGTGCCGTGTACCCAGTCCCTGTGTGTGCCGTGTACTCAGTCTCTGTGTGTGCCGTGTACTCAGCTCCTGTGTGTGCCGTGTACTCAATCCCTGTGTGTGCCGTGTACTCAGTCTCTGTGTGTGCCGTGTACTCAGTCCCTGTGTGTGGCGTGTACCCAGTCCCTGTGTGTGCCGTGTACTCAGTCTCTGTGTGTGCCGTGTACCCAGTCCCTGTGTGTGCCGTGTACTCAGCTCCTGTGTGTGCCGTGTACCCAGTCCCTGTGTGTGCCGTGTACTCAGTCCCTGTGTGTGCCGTGTACCCAGTCCCTGTGTGTGCCGTGTACCCAGTCCCTGTGTGTGCCGTGTACTCAGCCCCTGTGTGTGCCGTGTACTCTGTCCCTGTGTGTGCCGTGTACCCAGTCCCTGTGTGTGCCGTGTACTCAGCCCCTGTGTGTGCCGTGTACTCTGTCCCTGTGTGTGCCGTGTACTCAGTCCCTGTGTGTGCCGTGTACTCAGCCCCTGTGTGTGCCGTGTACTCAGCCCCTGTGTGTGCCGTGTACTCTGTCCCTGTGTGTGCCGTGTACTCAGTCCCTGTGTGTGCCGTGTACTCAGCCCCTGTGTGTGCCGTGTACTCTGTCCCTGTGTGTGCCGTGTACTCAGTCCCTGTGTGTGCCGTGTACCCAGTCCCTGTGTGTGCCGTGTACTCAGCCCCTGTGTGTGCCGTGTACTCAGCTCCTGTGTGAATGCTCCCATTGTGAGTCGCCGGGTCCACACGAGCAGCAGGCCAACGAATCCCTTCTCCCCTGTCGCTCCACCGGCCACGACCCCCCACACGTTGCGTCGGCGCGACATCGAGCAGTGGATTGACGCGCGGTCTGTGCATTGCGCGCCCTGTAACCCGTCCCGTGAGTGAGTGAGTAAGTGAGTGAGTTCGCGAGTGAGTGAGTAAGTAAGTGAGTGCGTGAGTTCGCGAGTGAGTAAGTGCGTGCGTGAGTAAGTGAGTGAGTTCGCGAGTGAGTAAGTGAGTGAGTGAGTGCGTGCCTGAGTGCGTGAGTTCGCGAGTGAGTGAGTAAGTGAGTGAGTTCGCGAGTAAGTGAGTAAGTGAGTGCGTGCCTGAGTGAGTAAGTGCGTGAGTGAGTGAGTGAGTGCGCGAGTAAGTGAGTGAGTGCGTGAGTGAGTGAGCAAGTGCGTGCCCGAGTGAGTAAGTGAGTGAGTGAGTGCGTGAGTGCGCGAGTAAGTGAGCGTGTGCGTGAGTGAGCAAGTGAGTGAGTGCGCGAGTGCGTGAGTAAGTGAGTGAGTGAGCGAGTGAGTGAGCAAGTGCGTGAGTAAGTGAGTGAGTGAGTGCGTAAGTGAGTGAGTGCGTGAGTGAGTGAGAAAGTGCGTGAGTGAGTGAGCAAGTGCGTGAGTGAGTGAGTAAGTGAGTGAGTGAGTGAGTAAGTGAGTGAGCAAGTGAGTGAGTGCGTAAGTGAGTGAGTGCGTGAGTGAGTGAGCAAGTGCGTGAGTGAGTGAGCAAGTGCGTGAGTGAGTGAGTGAGTGCGTGAGTGAGTGAGTGCGTGAGTGAGTGAGTGCGTGAGTGAGTGAGCAAGTGCGTGAGTGAGTGAGTGCGTGAGTGAGTGCGTGCGTGAATGAGTGCATCAGTGCGTGAGTGAGTGCGTGAGTGATTGAGTGCGTGCGTGAATGAGTGCATCAGTGCGTGAGTGATTGAGTGCGTGAGTGAGCAAGTGAGTGAGTGAGTGCGCGAGTGAGTGAGTGCGTGAGTGAGTGAGTGCGAGCGTAAGTGAGTGCGAGAGTAAGTGAGTGCGAGAGTGAGTGAGTGCGAGAGTGAGTGCGTGAGTGCGTGTGTCGCTAACAGCACTTGCCCCCAGAAGTCGGTTAAGGCTGTACGGGGAATCTTTGTCTTTGTGTGTCGGCCTTCACAGGTGCTCGCTAATAGCACTTGCCCCAACAGTCTGACAAGCTATACGGCGGGCTTTGTTACGTGTCGTGAGCAGTCCGGTATGCTTGAGCTTGTCTCTGTACTTTATATGTTGAACTTCTCTCGCACCGTGCGTAGCAAACCGTGCTAATCGGAGGTGTTGATGATACATGAGCCTCGCTTATGAGTGAGTGTGAGTTGTGTGTGAATGAGAGAGTGGTGAGAGTGTGAGTTGTGAATGAGAGTGTGAGTAGTGAGTGTGAGTAGTGAGAGAGTTGTGAGAGAATGTGAGTTGTGAATGAGAGTGTGAGTTGTGTGTGAGTGAGAGAGTTGTGAATGGGTGAGTGTGAGTTGTGTGTGAGTGAGAGAGTTGTGAGAGAGTGTAAGTTGTGTGAGAGAGTAGTGAGTGAGAGAGTGTCAGTTGTGTGAGAGTTGTGAATGAGAGAGGGTGAGTTGTGTGAGAGAGTAGTGAATGAGAGAGTGTGAGTTGTGTGTGAGTGAGAGAGTTGTGAATTAGTGTGAGTTGTGTGAGAGAGTGGTGAGTGAGTGTGAGTTGTGTGAGTGAGAGAGTGGTGAGTGAGTGTGAGTTGTGTGAGTGAGAGAGTGGTGAGTGAGTGTGAGTTGTGAATGAGTGAGTGTGAGTTGCGTGAGAATAGTGAGAGAGTGGTGAGAGAGTGTGAGTTGTGAATGAGAGAGTGTGAGTTGTGTGTGAGTGAGAGAGTAGTGAGTGAGTGTGAGTTGTGTGAGAGTAGTGAAAGAGTGTGAGTTGTGTGTGAGTTGTGTGAGAGAGTGGTGAGAGAGTGTGAGTTGTGAATGAGAGAGAGTGAGTTGTGTGTGAGTGAGTTGTGAATGAGAGGGTGTGAGTTGTGTGAGAGTAGTGAGAGAGTTGTGAATGAGGGAGAGTGAGTTGTGTGTGAATGAGAGAGTGTGAGTTGTGTGAGCGAGTGTGAGTTGTGTGAGAGAGTGTGAGTTGTGTGAGTGAGAGAGTTGTGAGAGAGTGAGTGTGAGTTGTGAGAGAGT